AATGAGATAATTATAGAAAAATAAGTGATACGAAAAAGAAAAAGAATAAAATAGAAAGAAAAAGAAAGAAGTAGAATATTATCGAACTGGACACGTAATCCAAATATTATTATGACCAATCTTTTATCGCTATTGCGTCTTCTATTCACGTGTTTTCATATGAAATAACTGACGATATTGAATCAGTGACAATATAAATCATAGCTAAACTAGTAATATGATCATAGTAAAAACAGTAATATTATACTAGTAAAACAAGTAATTAGATTCTAATAAAAGTAATAATAATATTATAAAAAAATAATATTTATAAAATCATCAAATATTATAAAAATAATATAATTTAACTAGTAATTTAAAATAAGTCCTAGAGTATAAGTATTAGAATTTTAATAATAACTTAATAAAATTATATTTTGTATTAATTTTGATTTTGAAAGATAGATTACTTATAATAATTAATTTGTTGTATTTAATTTGAAAAATAATTACTTGAAAGACTTATTATTACTTTAAAATTATAAAGAAACTTAGTAAAATTATTGGATATTATTTTAGCTTGTTACAACAAGCATATATGTTATCTATTTTTAGTTATAGTTTTAGTCTTTTCAATATAAAAACTTAGTCTTTTTTGTCTTTTTTATCTTTAAGTTAATAAAAATACATGAATAATATGTAAATAACTTAAATTTCACAAAAATAATAACAAATTTTGGTGTTTTTTTGTAAAAAAGATAATTTTACATTATTAAAATTTAGCTTAAACAAAGAATTCTCTATAAATAAAACAATATATTATATCAAACAAAATTAAAAGTTCTCTGTAAAAGAACAAATAACTCAATAATAAACAAAGCTTTTTCAATCTGAATTTGACAAAATTAACAAATACTGAAGTTGAAAGATTATTTCAAGAAATAATTACTAGATATTTAAAAGAGAAACCATTTTCAACAAGAAATTAGAATAATTTTTGATTATTTTAAAGCATTTTATAGAAAAATAATTTACAAAACAATAATAACTAAAGCAAGAGAAACTTTTACAAAAGTAAACCAAAAATTCAATCTAATTAAACAAGAAATTCAAGCTTGTTTACATTATTTTCAACAAGAAAGTTATCAATTTTATTAACAAAGAGAAGATTATTTAAGAAAAAAATAACAAAAAATACTAGTAAAAACTTCTAGTTTAAGAAAACAATTTCTAAAGAAGAATATAGAAAGTTCATTGAAACTATTAATAACTTTAATTTGGAAAAATTTAACAAAGTAAATACTATTCAAAAATATTTTAGTTAAATAATTAAATTAGTTAATTAATTATCAGCATCATCTTTCAATACTAAAAAAAAGTATTAGTAATTATTCAAACTCAAAAATTCCAACAAAAAGAACAAAAAAATTTTCAACAAAAAGAATTTCAACAAGAATTTCAACAAAAAGAATTTCAAAAAGAACAAGGAGAAGATTAATCAGAAGAAAATTAAGAAATGAAACAACAATTTGAAATCTTAATCACTAGATTAAATATTTTAGTAAATGTCATAAAACAAAATAATAAAGAAGCTAAATATATAAAAATAACTGACCTTTATAAAGATATTCGAAATTTAATTAGTTAATTACAAGACTTTAAAAATATATATATCAAGCTAATACAATTACAGTCAAATCTTTCTATAGTTATTACTTTTGAAAAAGCAAAAAATAGAAAGAATGTGACTATAAAGAAGTTTTTTTATTATATTTATATATAAATGTGAAATTAAAATAAAGTAACTATAAATAGGTGTGATTATAGAGAAGTTTGACTATAGTGACAATAGAAAAATACAAATAGTTAAAGCTTATTTAAAAGAAGCTGCTGCTACTTGGCTCATTAACAAAAGAATAATCATAAATTAATCTATACAATGAAATTCAGTTAATAATATTATAAATAATCTATTTACTTTATTCATATATTAATTTAGATTGCAATTTATAATTCAAAATAGAGTTTATGAATGACAAAGACAATTAAAAGAAAGAAAATAATTACCTAGTGAAAGTGTTGAACAATATATTATTGCTATAAGAAAACTCTTATACTAAATAAATTCAGATAACAATTATCTAATTTATTTACAAATATTATAATTCTTAGATCAAAATTTATTTTTTTATCAATTCAACAAGATCTATGACTTTGAAAGATACAACTTAATTATATAATACAAATTTTTAATAATAAATATTATATTTCAATATAATATATTAACTATATCAAGTTTTATGAATATTTTATTCTTATTACAAATACAAATAAAGAATAAAATCAGTAAATTAACTAGATAATTAAAGAAATTAAAAATTCAATTAAAAAAAAGAATCTCTAATTCTAGCAATTTCAATAATAATCAGAATAATTATAGAAAAAACAATAATAAAAATCAGTCACTTGAAAAACTTATTATTTGATATTATAACCTTTGAGAATTTAAAAGTAAATATATAAAACTTAGTGAAGTTATTGAATATCATTCTAGCTTGTTACAACAAAAACACATATTATCTACTTTTAATAATAATTTTTAGTCTCTTTCAATATAAAAAATTAGTCTCTTTCATCTTTAAATTAGTAAAAACATGTGAATAACACATAAATATTATATCTTTGAATTATTATAATTTTTGTAAAAATTGATATAAAACTTAGATATCCTTTTTTTCTTTTAATATTTTGTTTATTATTAAATTCTCTCTTCCAATCCAGTTCCAAGTTTGTAAGCTAATTTAACAATTAGTAAACAAACTTGTAACATCTTAATTTTCATATGAACAACATTTTGAATTCCTGCACAAGAATATGTCTTTTAATTGATAATTGTTAAAATTAATATTAAATTATAATATATAATTAATATAAAACAAATATATGCTTTAAGTTTCAGAAATTGAAATACAAAGAAAAAAAGAAATTAATGAAAGAAAATAATAAGAAAAAATCTTTGAATATTTCAAAAGTTTAGAAAAAATAAATTTAAAGAATAATTTTAATACAAATTTTTTTATTTCTAAAATTAAGTTTAAACAAAGTATTTATTCTAGTTATGTTATATATAATATTTATATACCCCAGGATGTGAAGATACTCTTATTCAATAATATTATGTTCGCATGACATTAAAGATCACATTAAAATATTTAAAGAAACAGGTAAAATATTCGAAATTTTATTCAATGATGCTCATATAAATGATAATTACAAAGAAATCTTCCAACTAAACGAGAGAAAATCAACCTAATGTCCCAACACCCGCATTTATCATATACTGATTCAAATACAGGGCACATTCTTGCGGAATTTCTTTATTGACAATTTCACTTATCTAAAAATCAAAAGCCATCGAAAAAATAATTAAAAATTTGCACAAAGAAATGGAAAGAAACAATATCAAAATAAGCTCATGTACCCTTCCAGGATGAGTCTGGCTTAGTGTATACACCGAGCGCGCCAGAAATTCACGTGCGTTAGGTATGCCAGTTGGATCCCGTTTCGACCTACTAGCAGTAACCAGCTTATTGAAAGCGGCTTTGAATTCTGTTTCTTCTTCTAATTCGAAATCGATGTATTCTTCTTGTTCTTCCTCGATTCCATTTTTCTTGATTTCGACTGGAGCCTCAAATAACTTGATCACCGCAGTTAAAATGCTTGACCTATAAAAGAATTTATCAAGGAAATCAAATAGAGGATCGACACAAATTAAAATAAACATGTAAACAATTACCATTGTTCAATATAACTAGGTGATAACATTGTATTGCTTTGTGTCAATAAACGCGTCAATGCCACCGCACATATATGTCGTTCAATCTGACCTTGAACTTTTTGCAGATTGAGGATCACAATGGAAGTTAAAACTTGCAAGAATAATCTATGAATAAAAACCAAAATCAGCCTTTATTACGAAAAAAAAAAAAGAAACCAAATTCATGATCGAAAAAGTGACTTTTACCCTGGTTGAATACTATCAAAAGCGTTAATAATATAGTCTGGTCCGGCTCCCTCTTTATTCAAGGCAACGAAATAACACAGGAAATTTATAAAGCGTATCGTGAATTTTTCACTCTTGATCGTGGAAAGCTTTTTCATCAGCAATGATATAATAGCTTGCATATACTGATCCAAATTTACACTATTATGAAAAAACACAATTAGCACATTATTTCGTATGCATAAATTCAAATGTTATCAGTGAAACTCACGTAGAAATATATTCTACTATCGTGGTCAATAAGTCTAGCGCATATTGATCATTTAATTTAGAAGCCAGTAGTTTTTGAAATATTCCTAATATTGGGACAAGTTGATTTTGTGTGGCTATAGAGGAAGCGCCACGATAAAGATATGCCTGGAGCCAACGAACTAAAGCTGGAACGTTGCCTAATTATGCAAAATATATCGGGTGAATTCATGATTATCTAGAACAATTAAGAATACCATAAACTCTCGAATTTAAGCAACCCCCTGCATCATTATTTTTTGACCGATTTTTCGTGGGGTTGCTTAAATTCAAGGGTTTGAACCTGTCTTTAAGAATGGAAGTACGTAACGATCAGGATGCATAGTTAAGACTCTCGAATTTAAGCAACTCCCACGAAAAATCGGTCAAAAAATAATGATGCAGGGGGGTTGCAATTCGAGAGTTTACGGTAATCAGGGATAAATACCACTAGAACTCCAGATATTAGGCATGAGAATAGCTGGCAGCATATCGCGATACATTTGTGGTAAATCATGTTCCGTATGACATTCAAGTAATTGGGATAATATTTGAAAGACGTACGGAATAAATTCTACAAATTAAGTAATTCATAGTTCATTAGCGATCATAAAAAGAATAACGATTTTACTTATCAGCTCATATATTTACCAGTAACTTCCTGACGAAGAATTTGGTCAAATGGTGGGAACAAAACGCTCTCAAATTGTGTCACTAAAGCAAGATTGTTCTGAGAACAAAATCTTTAGAGCAATAGAATCAGATCTTTATTTAGCATCTAGATGATATTACGTGAAACAATTATAAGTCCCATACTTTGAAATTTTCACACCTCACCAATCCACCGATCGATTCAAATACGTAATGATTGAACCGGGGATTACTCGGATTCTTACTGATTTGGCTCAATATTCTACTCAAATGTTCGATCACTTCCGGTGCAAGGTTTGAAATTCGTTCACGAGAAGTGAAAATCACTCGCATTATCGCTATTCGAGAGTAGTTTTATCATATATATACCTTAGATAAATATCAGAATCTTTATCGGATCAAAAGAGATTCTTTTTACCTTTCATTAAATAATCATTTTCGGCCAGAGTTTCAGGTGTCGTTCCAGCTTCAATCAATCTAAATAAGCTCACCAAGATAGTCTGAACATATTCGTCAATATCGGCAGGGGTAAATCTGTAATAAAAGAGGTTCAATAATTAGCTTATAAATAGAATAAACAAATATAATATAAAATACCCACAACATAATATTTTCTTTTCTCATACACAATATGCGTTCAATTGCTATGGCTGCATATGTATGAACGACATAATTGGTAGAGGAGAGATGCTTAATGAGGGCTGGCAATACAGCAACTAGTTGTTCCTTGGACATCTGCAATGAGACATAGTATTGCCTTTCAATGAAGACGAAATCGCTACAACAATTCTACTGTTTAAAATGATTAATTAGTTCACCTGATTTCTAAAGGTATAAAGATATTTAATTGCATCAACTTTCAATACAGCAGGTTCCGAATCAACAGGGGTCTGGAAATCTGGTAAAACATTTTTGGAGAACCAATCCACAACATCCAATAGCATGTTAACTTGGGTCACTCCATGCTTTTCAAAAGATAAAGTTAAATTGAATGTTTACACGGATTATAGGAAAAAAAAAACAATAAAAAAATATTGTACTTTTGTAGCAGTTCCTTGGGCGGCTATCGATGTTAAAAGATAGATCGCCGTGTCCTTGTCTTTCCAAAGGGAAGGATTTTCTTTATAACGCTGATAAACAACAAGAAATCAGATATTTCAAATTAAATTGATAAGAATTTATTTAAAAAATATTAGTTCTAACCTGGAGATAGGCACCAATATAATTATTGACAATTTGAGTAATTGGTTGCAGATAGAGAATCATTAACCCGCGCACGAAATCAGTCGCAGCTCTTCGGCGAGTATCACTATCTGGGAAGAAATCATAATTTTGCAAAGATCCAATACAATTAGATATCACAATTAATTCTATCTATTGCACAATGATATTGTTTCTACTTACCTGACCCTTCGAGATCTCTTCTGATATACTCGATTGGATCCTCGGAGAATAATTCTTCGTCCGATTCTTTATAATAAATAATTAATATTAGGGATTTCAATTCTTGCTTAACAATCATACTCATATATTCGTTAAATATATATATATACCTCTCAAAGACATATTGGGAAGAATAATCCTCTCACAGAACTGCTGGAGAGTTTCTTCGTTTTGAAAGAGCGTTCGATATCTTTCTAACCTTACTACTGTAGTTAGAAAACCCATGGCTTTACTAACAAGCTAAGAAAAGACGTATTGTCAAAGCTTATCCTAAATCAATTAAGAGAATAACGAAATCTCACAATGTCATATTTCTGCTGCAAGCTAGTGGTGGTCAATAGTGTCCATATTGTCTGAACGAATTTCGGTAGCATGGTGAATGTATCTTCATATTTTCCGGTATAAAGTGACACAATCTCACATATAGATGATTTTATTTTCTCTAATGGGCCAGTTTCATCTTCATCCTAAAAGCGCAAAGAATAATTCAGCCATTGGAAATTACCAAAAAAAAAAAGAAATAATATTCCACTAACTTGCGATTCCAACAAAGGATTTGAATATGTTAAATAATTATGAAACACGTCCATGAATTCATTGATGTTATCTTCAAAAAATGGCGGTAGATCTTGACAATTGAGATCGTAAAAAATTTTTGTTAAGAGAAGTAGCGTTTGTGTCAGGACACCAAGAATTGAACCATCATTAGCATGTTGTGTGATTAGTAAATCTGTGGCCTGTGTGTGTTTTATTAGTATTATTGTTTTTGTTATTGTTGTTGTTGTTATTATTATTATTAATATTATTATTAATATTATTATTGATATTCGAATAAGTCTTGATCGAGTGATAGAATAAAAAATTCACCTTAAACAGTTGAAAATATGGTTCACAAATTTGATCTAACACGATATTAATTTGCGTGTACAACTTGTCGGAGCGAAATTCATATCGATATCTATATAAGACAAACGTAAGAATTGGAATTATTAAATCGATATCATTATAAATTCAATTAACTCTACCTTTTGAATATCGAATGAATTGTTTCCAATACAGCGTTATTTTGTGCAAAATTTTCAGTATTGAATTTACTGATCAATTGCTAAAAGACAGACAAAACAAGATTAGTGAGAAAATAAGCAAAAAAATAACAATTGATTCTCTTACCTGAATTAAATTCTCCCATTGATGTGGAAAATCATTCTCAGCTATTATGGTTACGGAGTCGATCAATGGTAATTGGAGATAATTCGGAATGCCAACCAATACATCAATAATATTTGCTTTTATCCATGCTCTGTTTTCGTCAGAAAGTCTATTGGACTCTTCATCTTCCTGTGTGTTTTCATCAAAGGAATCAAAATAATTAAGTATTTCACCAATGAAAGGCGCAGCCTCCGTCACAACGAAAGTGCATTACCGGTACCCAGTTTCGTTTAATGTAATTTTTAAAGTATAAAGCCGAGGCGTGGCGAACTACTTGTTCAGCACCTTCAGCTGCTACAAGTCTCAGAATGGCAATAACAAAGTTAGGTTGTTCATTTTGAGCTGTCGCCAAATTTGCTTCAGCTATTAGACAAGAATGTAAGGAATGTGAGCATTTATCCAAGAGGAAGTAAAGAACAAAAGTAAGTGTATGCCTGCCTGTTTTCCTGGTATTAGGATCTATGGTTTGCTTTAATAAGACGGCTAAATTAGTCAGGTATTGTTCGTCGACTTGTGGTATAGACATTGTGATATTTTTCTTAAAGAAAAAGGTTAGATATTAGGCCGACTAAAAAATAGATGCTTTCGCGTTTGATCAATTTTAAAAAGTTTGTGTAACTTGTCACATATCATCTTATTAAACAATGTGTGCACGTGAATGAATGGAAGCATCTTTGTCAATTATGTAGCCTTTATTGGAAAGGTGATTTACAAATAAATAATTTTCATCTAATAAACTCAGAAATTTTTTGAACAGAAACAAAAATTTTTCAATAAAAATTCTCCATTAGCAACTTTATTATCGCCATCCTCAACATTATCACGAATTCGTCCTCTGCATATTCCCTCCCATTCATCCTTGTAGCTAGTAATTTGTACCACATCAACTTTATTTTTACGTCCATTCATTATGTCACCATAAGTTGCAGTAAACTTGACTTTTGCCAAAAAAGTTTTTATATTTGCCACCACCGAATAGACTTGTGATTCTTTTTTGCTCGCAGGTAAATAATAACCCGAATAGAAAGCCACATCTCCATATTCGAATTCTCCTGTTGCTGATAGATTTGCTGTTGTTGGATGAAAATCGAATTTCTGACAAACTTTGCCAACTCCTAATGTATCTATATGCGTATTCATGGAATCTACCGCAAGTTCAAGGAATTTTCGTATGATGATCGCATCATCCGTTAAATTATTATTCAAGGGAGTGAATTTCACACAAGGACAAAATTCGGGGGGAATAGCGACACTTTGACATGTTCTTGTCACGTTTATTGGTAATAAAAGTACTTCGCCGTATTTCTGCGCGCTAGTTTTTTCGTTTTCGCCACCCTGGAAAAAGTTGGAAGGATCTTTTAATGCAGCAGCAGTTGAGAGGGTACTCATATTTTCAGATTGACCGAATGCTAAATAAAGTAGGGTCATGTGAAGATCCATGTGAGTGGTAAGCTTATCTTTGTTAATGAGGAATCCGGGACGATGTTGGTCGGCAAGGTTTTTCGGAAGGATCATATGTAATGGTGGTTGTTTATGATGAAAATGTCCTTCATATGAAGCAGCCTCGGAACCATAATGAATTCCATGATCAGATAATATAACAACAACACTATGAATTAAACAACCCCCCCCCCCCGCGATTAATATAAATTAAGATATTTGCATATAGTGATTAGCAACGAAATACCTGTTTGGATGAAGTAATGGTTTCTCTCCTGATTTATCATCACCTATCAATAATTCTGTAAATAAATTGACCATAGAATCGTCAAGACTTTTAATTTTCATTTCAGGTGAATGAGTATCCATCAATGTCACTGTTGCAAATCTTTTATAGTGTTCCCCATTCTCATCTAATCCTCTATAAACATCCAAAAATTGTCTTAGATAATCAAATTGAGCCTCATAAATAGCTTTTTGACCCATGCAAAATCGAGATGGTACAATCATTCCGTCAATTGAAAGTGAATCATATTGGGAGTCCATGCCATGTTGTAATTTACATGTTCTCTCGAATTCTTCGTCTTTGAATAGTCTATAAGTGTCACACATTGACACGTGAGGGAATTGATGTTGCGCCGGCAAGTCATCGTCTCTAACTTTTTGGTAATGATAAGTTATTGATCCGTCCGCATATCCGGTGTATGGCCATTCCCACCATCCACCACATTCACCGTCAGAATGCATAGTAACAAATCCTTGATCTTCATATAATTCCCATAGCCAAGTTGCTTCGGCATCTCCTCTTTTCGAACTCAAGTAATCTTTTGATTGTCCTGAATATAGAAAAGCTTTGTTCGGGGGTGAATTAGTTCCCAATACATTATAACGATTAAATGAGAATGTTTCATGTTTGTTATTAGTATGTTGTTGCATATTTTTTAGAAGATCGACGGTCTTTGGAAATTCTTCATTGAAATGTTCTCTGGACACTGCATCAAGTAAAAGAAACACGACATCATCCACTAATGGGCTTTGACTATTCAAGATGCTATGATCCGGTAAGGGTGAATTCGAATTTTGTTGTTCTTTAATCATAGGTTCACGCGTCAAAAAATTCGATTCGTTTTCACATTTAATCATTACATACTCCTCCTCAAATTTCAATTGTCCTTCGGTGCTTTGATCCCACGATTTAAATTTTGAATTAAAAATAGAATGCATACTTGGAAAATGGTATTCAAAAGGAGTTTTACAATTGACATTTATCAGTTGATCCCCAGTTAATGGATCATGTTGTATCGAAACAAAAGTCCTACCAGGGGTAATGTCAATCACAGTGTGGTCTTGCGTTATATTTTTCCACGGTGGAAGTTCACACGTGCCATTACCATCAAATATTCTTGCGTATTCTGTTTCTGAAGAACGGGGTAGAAAATAAGCCAAAATAATTATCAAGATAAGCGACACAAGTAATATTGTTAACCGTTTTGGAGTTTTTGCTAGTTTTAGACCACAAATCGATATAAAGGGAGGTGAGACTTTAGTAGAAAGCGGATGATAATTCCAAGATGGACGATTCAACCAGTTCCAGGCTCGACTAGCAATTCTCTTCATATTTTAATAGAGTTTAACAGTTTTCTTCTATTTTACAAAAGATTCTGATATGCATTTTTACACGTTAAAAATTTTCTTTATATCTATCCTTTTTTGTCAGATGGGCACACAATGGGTACACATTAGTAAGTTTACGGACCGACCAGCCCGAATAACTTGTTCTAAACTCGTACGAGCTCAAAACAAAAAATCTGGCTGCTGTGAATTTTAACCTTTTGGAAAGATAATGGCTCCCAATAAAAGCGACTAAGAAGAGGAGATAGTTCTAACTCGATGTTATATAGCATAACGTACTTAAATCTGATTGGTTGATCTTCAAAATGTATCACCGCATATTTAAATTTCGACAAAATAAATATACGTATATTTATTAATTTACAGAATACTGTGATCTGGAAGGAGAAAAGAATGGCGTTTCTGTAGTATCTAATAAAGTGACTATTACCAGATATTAAATTGCATTACGCAGAAAACACTATAACAAACTAATAAAAAAATCGCATTCATTATCATATCTCTTTAATCATTAAGAAAGCATGCTATTTTTATCAACCAATAGAATTTAAAAATGATCTACAAAAATTAGCCAATCACAAAGAAAGCCCGCTATGTTATTAAAAACTATGGACCGGTCCTTCCTATTTTCATTTAAACAGTCAGCCAATCATTTATGTTGTGTATACTTTCTAGCGCAAACAATGATTAAAATTTTGCATAAGATTGTTGTTTGCCAAAAATAAACAACAATTGTCATTTATTTCTGAATGGATTCGAAAAGTTACAAAACACTAATCTACCATAGATTCATCTCTGAATTCAAAACTCCAGAAATTAAATTTAACTGTAGTTATCTCGTAATATATAATGAACAGAAAATTAAAGTGAATTTACTATATACAATATTAAATAAACAAACGAAAATTGGAAAATTGTTCTTGAAATAATAAAAAAGATTAATTAAATAATAAAAAAACTATACAATTATTTAAGTGGAAAAAAAAACTATAGAATAATTCTGGTAGATGACCATAATGAATGAAAAAAATTTTGTAGGTTGAGTTCTCTTCGTTGTTGTTGACGATGGCCAGCATCGTTTATCATTATCATTTCAGCTTGCCGTGTGGGTATTGCTGGATGTAATATTTGTGTTTCGTGTGTTGTGTTTGTTTTAACAAGAGTTGAAATTGGTTGGCCTGCTATTAGTTCAATTGCAATTCCTGTTGAATCAAAAGATAAATGCGTGTTTTAACATAAATGTGTATATCAATAAAGAAAAACTTAGTTCAAGGATAAATACTTACTTAAATACCAAAAAGTATATGTTATCAGCAGGAGCCAAATCGAAAATTTGATGAAAGGTTGTAAAAAGAGAACGGCTTGTAAAAGCTCGATGTCTATAAAATTTGGAAAAAATTAATTTTTTCTTCTTTTTCAAATATACAGCCAATGCTACGAGACATACCGGTTGGTAATGCAACAATCATTGTAATAGATTTAATTTATTTTTTTAATTTGGTCAACCAAAGTAAAAAAAAAATGTCGCTCGAGAGATAAAATGATTAAAGAGATGTACAAAGAAGAGAGAGATGAATTTGTGGTATGAATTCTTCGTCACGACATCATATTTATATATTTTTGATGATATGTTATTGTGATGTGATGATGAACGCAGTGTTACGATCAAAAAACAACAACATAAAATGACAAGCGATCTGCTATACTTTCATCAAGACACAATAGCAACCGATTTAGTCATATTATGAAACGTTAATAATGACCAAAGTAAAATAAATGTACATAAAAAAATTATACTACTATTAGGGCAACAACAACAGCAAATGAATTGTCTGTGTTTTTTTTTTTTAGATATTGTTGGTTTAAAGAGTTAGATTTTTGTCGATTGGGAGGACCAAAGGTTTTTCCTTTATTAACAATATCATTTAACGAAAACAATTCATTGTTTCTTAGATGCTATGTACGAACAATGACTAAAACTAAAATGTGAATTTGGCTTCACAAGTTATGTTTGAAACCAATGAAATCTAAGGCACGTGTAAAAAGTGAATTTCACGATCAAAGATTTGTAAACCAAAAAATATTCAATTTTCGTAAAAAAGTTTTAGCGTTAGCACTTTAGTTTTCCGCATATGTAAATCATAAATACAATTCCCATTGTTCGTTATTATTGTTTTTTCGGCCTACGAATTAGCAATTAATTCATGATAACGACTAAAAATACTAGTCATAATACTTGTAAAGTTTGGTTTTCTAATCTCTCGGATTTAATTTTTCGCAAAGGTCAGGGATGTTTATAGAATAATACTAAAAAACAATTATAATATTGTTTTAATTTGAATCAAAGGCGAGAAACGGTTACAAGTTATACTATCACTTATCTTTTTTTATATTATAAAAACCAAAACAATATTTATATTTTGTATTGTACATATTTAATATTATACACTCGATCATCTGAATAGATATTGTTTAGCTTACTATTTTGTGATAGATTTTCAATGTACATGATTATTTGATTATTCAAATTGCGATAAAGCCATCAATTGATGATCCACGAATAACTAAAAAAAATTGAGAACTTCAAAAATGCCCCCTCTGTGGATTGAACACAGGACCTTTAGATCTTCAGTCTAACGCTCTCCCAACTGAGCTAAGAAGGCTTCTGATTTCCTAAGTGTCCTAACTTATGAATTTAAATTTATTTCTAGACTTTTGGAAACTCCCTAAACTGTATTGCACAGATTGTAAAATAACAATTAAAATAACCTCAAATATTTATAACCTAGCCTTCTTAGCTCAGTTGGGAGAGCGTTAGACTGAAGATCTAAAGGTCCTGTGTTCAATCCACAGAGGGGGCACTCTCAATTCTATATTTTACTTGGAATATGAAGAAATTTGGTGGATACTACGCAAGAACTTCTATCTGTATTACATGAATACAGATTTTTTGCGCTTGCATGTACGTATGTGTACAAGTTCGTTCCTGATTATTTTAACACGAATTTAGATAACATATCGATATAGAGACGAGATTTTATTTCTTCTTTCGAAAATCTCAGGGTCATACATAGACCATATCGATATTGATATATGATACTTAATAAAGCTTTACATGTACCACCAAAAAAAATATTCGCGACGCGTAATTGATTTAAAAGTTAACATGGATAACAAAAGAATTCGCGTGTGAATTTTTTATTATCGTAATGAGCTCATGATTATAAACTTTTGGAAAAAAATAGGCTCTTTCTTTTTTGATTGATAAATGATGAGTGATTTCAATATAATGATAAAATAGCATTATATATAATTTGACTAAATTATAAATACGTACCCGTTTCAGCAGTCAATGGTCATAACGATAGATATTAGTAATCCTCCAAGTTTTTAATCAAAAAGGTTGATGAATTAAGTCGATATAGAATAAATAAATACTCGCTGTGTGTCGTGAGTTGTGATTTTCTTTTGAAATAAAATGAAAACCTTAGTGTGTAAAGTAAGAAACATTCAAAAATTGACTTTTACTTTTTTACTAATTAATTCAGCAATATATATAAAATAAATTTATTAATATAATCAACGAAAAAATGTCGATAATTTTCTTCCCGATCTCTTTGCTGTATCACGAATTTCACGAAATTTGTTCTCGTATCGTCAGATTCCTTGGTATGTTTTATTTGTTTTAGTTTTAGTATTATTATTTTTAGCATTATTATTATTAGTATTATCATCATTTGTATTATTGTTTATTTATTTAAAATTGCTACAGTGGTCTTATCTTCGCTAAAGTGTAGTCCTACCCTACGTGTAATTATCATGAATTTTATTCGAATTTCATTTTCAATCTAGACTCGAAGAAAAAACCAACTCCTCAACAGGAACAAGAGCAGGAACAAGAGCAGGAACAAGCACAGGGACGACAAAATCATCAAATACTCTCCATAGACGACCAGAGCAACAACCATCAAATACTCTCCATAGACGACCAGAGCAACAACGAAGATAAGAAAAACACTATTCCTCCAGATACTGAGAATCACAATACCAATAATACAACTCCAACCGCTGCTATAACCGAATCAACAACTGAATTAACGACTGAGTCAACAACCGAAGAAATTCCTCCATCTCTGAGGATGGGACAAGGTCCATCCTATAATAATCAATCAAACATGTATAATCATAATCATAATCATCATCAACATAATTATTCTAACAACCACCGTGATAATCCCGGTAGTAATCATACTAGTCAGAGAAGTGGTTACCAGGAATCAAGAGGTAAAAAATATATACTAAAATTATTTTATCTATATATAACTAAGCTTTACCCCTTTAATCTTGAAGGCGGAAGCTATGATTTGAGCGGGCATGAACAATTACACAAAGAATTGACTGGCAAGTAATTTAAGGCATTATAAATTGTTATTATGTATGATTGCTTTTTTACTAATAATATTCTTAGATGGAAAGGTGAATTGCGGTGCGCGTCTTAAAGAACTTCGCAGATGTATCGACATTGGTGTATGGACTCCAAATGCCTCCAAGCCTAATTATCATATTCGTTTCTAAAACTAGTCACCATGTTCCCTATTTGATAATCAATTAGTGTAGTGAAAAAGATGTAGCTAATTCTAACATGTTAATAAAACTGGATTTTCCTTGATTCGCTAATTTTTGTACGTCATACACTAATTTATTTCGTATCCTATCCGCAGAAGTTTGAACTTATATTTTTCCTCACCTATTGAATTCTTGTTTCTCCTTTCTTCCTAGATAATCAAACCAACAAAATATGGACGCTAATTTCTCATTTTCAGACGTGTGTGATGCGCATTGTCACCCACAAGACGATAAAGAAAATCTTGACGCAATTGCAAATTTGAAAATTGCAAAGCTGTGCGTTATGGGAACTAATTCGCACGACTTGGATATTGTTTCAGAGCTGTCGAAAAAGTTCCCGGATAAGGTGATTCCATGCTTTGGTAAATAGATAAGCAAATATATTTTCAAGCAGAAAAAATAAAAACATTAATTGATTGATTGATTGATTTAACGATAAATTGCATTCATTAATTGATTTAACACGAAAACAGGGTTTCATCCATGGTATGCTCATACGTTAACACTCCAAGAAGGAAAAATAGACAAAACATCACACTATCGCACCGTATTTCAACCACCACAAACAGCAGCCACGTCGACAACTGCTGCTGATGATGAACTAGACGCTTTGATTCCTCTCCTTGAAGAACCAATAATATTCAAAGAATGCCTAAACAAACTGGAATCTCTTCTCAAAGTGCATACATCTGCGCTAGTTGGTGAAATAGGATTAGACAAATCCGCGCGTCTAAAACATCCGCAAACCCAAAAACTCACGGTCTATCAGTCAAACATTCAGCATCAACTCGCACTATTCGAAGCACAATTCGATATTGCGGCAAAATATCAACGAGCAATCAGTGTGCATTGTGTACAGACGACTGGTTACATAGCTGATTTTATCCAACGTAGAATCAAACAACAGCAAGAACAACAACAACAACAACAACAACACCAAGGCAATAATAATTCGCAACCACTTTTACCTCCACGTATTTGTTTGCATTCCTACGGTGGATCTGCCGACACGATAAAAAGTCTCACAAAGAAACCGAGTAAACGACAGCTAAAGAAAAAAAATACCATCGCTGATAACAATCCAATATCAAGATCTATTGATGAATGTGAAGTCTACGTTTCTTTTAGCAGTGTAATTAACGAACGCTACGAGAGATTAGGCGAACTGATTAGAGCAGTACCGGATGATAGACTTTTAATCGAGAGTGATTTGAATTCTCCAATTGGAATCGAAGATCACTTGAAAAGAATAATCGAGATTGTTAGCGAAGCTAAAGGTTGGCAGTTCCAAGAAACAGTTAATATTACTAAATCAAATTTTTTGAGATTCATGGGAGAGGAAACTGAAAGTCAGTCATTGTAATAGTTTTAATAATAGGATAGTGGTAAATCAACTGCTGCTTTTTGTTTAATTAATTAATGCGAAATGTATTTTTTTATGTTGTACTCCCAGAAAATAATAAATTTTTTATGATAACCATTGTCATTGTCATCATATGACCCATCTCACTATACATATAACGATACGTAGGTAGTAGAAACACCATCTATTTTTCACAGCAGATATGGCAGCAGAACCTTCCAAAGCACAAATACAAGAAATATTTCAAAAATTTACTGCTCAACGAGCAAATAAGGTTATATATATTTTTATAAGCATAGTTTCACGCTAAGAACAAACGCGATGAGTAAATCCTTACAAAAATATCTCTTTATGTGGATGTGGTTGAATATATAGGTTTGCTTTGATTGTAACGCTATAAATCCTACCTGGTCAAGTGTCACTTTTGGGATTTATCTTTGCTTAGATTGTTCTTCCGTTCATCGAAATTTAGGGGTTCACATTAGTTTTGTGAGGTATGAATTTGGCATTTCTATTATTTCTGAACAAAAAGAGCATTTTTTTCATCTTCACAACCCGCCTTACAATCAATCAATAATATTTTTAACCTACTAATATTTACATTAAATAAATCAAAACAATTGTCGATAACAGATCAATTTCTCTGGACTCTTGGACATGGGACCAGCTTCGAGTGATGAAAGTGGGTGGGAATATCGCGGCCACAGAGTACTTTGCGAAACACGGGAACGCGTCAATGTCAAATAAAAAAGACGCGAAATCAAAGTATACTTCACGAGCTGCGTTGAAATACAAAGAGGAATTATCGCGAAGAGCCAAAGAGGATGCGACAAAGTAATTAATTCTTTATTGACCTCAATTTTATAATTTTCGATATTCAAATTCTTCGATGTGAATTCTCGTAATAGGAATCCTGAATTTGACGTAGCAGTGGAACACAATGAAAGCGATCATCAACAACCAAATTCTCCACAAAAAGATGACTTTTTCGAAAAATTTGAAAACACAACAGCATCGATAAAAGAATCATCTACTATTATTACTGGTACCCCACAAATAAAACCCATAATAAACACTACCGAAAAAAATACATCTCAAAGCTCCAATGTTACTACCACCACCTCTACCACCACTAATCGGAAACCAAATTTCGCACGTAGTAAAACACAAGGTCCCAAAAAAAGTAAATTAGGATTGGGCGCCGTGAAAATGCAAGTGAACATGGAGAAAGAAGAACAAAAGGCAAAAGAAGAGGAAGAGTTATCGGCCAAGAATGCTGTGTTTCCTCATAAAGATGAAGATAAGAAAAAACCAGATTTTTTGGAGGACAGAGGATTTTCTCGTATAATATATAATGAATTAGCTTATGATCCTACGGAGGGTAATAATAATAGTAGTAGCAATGGTGGAAACGGATCAATATCTCACAAGAAAAGTGATGAAATTGATAGACTTGGGATGGGAGTTTCTAGATTGGGATTTGGAACTGTTGCGCCTGTTAATACTAAAACAACAAAGACTGATGATGTGAATGCAAGATTCGTTGGATTTGGGTCTACAGGCTTCAACAATGATGATAATAATTCCAAAGGAGCTACGGGTGAGTGAGTTATAATAACTAAATAAATATTTTATTATCGTTCAATCTATTCATGTATTTCTATTATATCAGATTCCGGCCCTGAATATGCACGACAAAAATTCGGTAACCAGAAAGCAATTTCCTCCGACCAATACTTTGGTCGTAACCAATACGATCCAGAATCATTGTCGCTCGCTACTGACCGACTTCGACAATTCGAAGGCGCCTCATCGATATCGTCCAGCCAATACTTTGGTCGTGAAGAGGAAGAATCTTCGCGTCCAGAGAGTATCGATTTTAGTACCTATCAAATAAACGCTACCGAATTCGCACGAAAGTTCATCGGACAAGCGACCGCGGATTATGATAGTATAAAGACTATGGTGGATAAAGGAAGTGAAAAGTTAAAAGATTATATTCAAGAGATTCAGGTATTTTTTTGAATGATAGAATGATTAAAATTTATTTGAAAAATTTAATGTTAATTTGTTTTCTCTTATAGCAACGAGTTAATTATTAATACTATTATATCGGTCGAATGGATTCTTGGTTTATGGGAAATTTTACCGTTAAATTATTAATTGCCACCAGATTTTCTTTAGATAAATTTCCTAGATATTATTTACTTTCTAACAATAATAACATACAAACGCAGTCTATATAATCTTTGGATTAATAATAAATTTATTATTTTTTTGATATTTAATAATCACAATTTGTTCTGTCTATGTTAAAAAAATAACATAAATAAATATTAGACCAGACCAGTGTTATTAAAACTACTACAAATTAATCAATCAACAGCTTGATGTGCTACAATATTATAATTTCTCATAATCAAGTTTCGATTCTAATTTTTTGGCATCGGCTACTTTACGTGCAGCTTTCATAAAGTCCTCTTGCACAACATAATCCCTTTCATTGCGAAGAGCAAACATGCCTTTAATTAACAAAAATGTAATTAATAAATGATCCTCTCAATTAAAAAGAAAAGATAAAAAGATCACACAAACCAGCTTCAGTGCACACGTTTCGTAAGTCAGCACCATTGAAACCATCTGAAAGTCTAACAATTGCTTCGTAATCTAATAAAATGGATAAAAAGGTTAGATAGATAAAAAAAAATTAATACGATGAAAACCCCCCCAAAAAACAAACCAATATCCCCATGTTTCGTTATAGGCGCTGCGTGGATTTTAAGAATTTCCAGACGTCCTTGTTCATTTGGAAGTGGAATCTCAATTTTACGATCCAACCTTCCTGGTCGTAATAAAGCCGGGTCCAAAGTATCCGGTCGATTTGTAGCCATAATTAATTTTGTCTGGCCGAGATAATCAAATCCGTCCATTTGATTTAAAAGCTATAAATACAGAGTTAAACAAAAGAAATATATTAATACTTGCAGCTGCAAATATCCATTAAACTAGCAGATACGATAAAAAGTTACCCGTTTTTAACATTTAAATTACCTCCATCAGGGTTCTTTGTATTTCACGATCAGCACTTGTACCCTCTGAAAATCGTCTTCCACCAATAGCATCAATTTCATCCATAAAGATTATACAAGGTTCATGGTCTTTCGCATAGCCAAACATTTCGCGAATTAATCTTGCGCTTTCGCCAATGTATTTATCAACGATAGCACTAGACACCACTTTCAGAAAATTAGTTTCTAATGTGCTCGCGACAGCGCGTGCAAGCAATGTTTTCCCGGTGCCAGGCGGTCCATATAACAGAACACCTTTCGGAGGTTTTATACCAACACGGAGGAAGAGTTCTGGGTTCATCAATGGTAATTCAATAACCTGTCAAGCAAATGTACAATGAAAATGATAGTTTATGCAAGTAATCGAAATGATGCATCGATTTGGTTTTACCTCTCGGAGTTCTCGAATTTGTTCACCAAGTCCGCCAATACCCGCAAAATTTATTTTTCCTGGGTCTTCTAGACTCATATTGTATACTAATGGATCTACTTCCCTTGGCAGCATGCGCATGATCGTTAATGTCGTCATATCTAGAGCTACACGCGTGCCTTGCTTGAGTTTCTCCTTGTTAACTTTATTACGGCAACCGACAACATAACGTGGTCCGGAAGAAGCTTTTACGATGACTAAATAGTAATAATAAATAAGTTTTGAATCGTAGATACAGACCGAAGACCAAGATGAAAAAAAAGACGACTTACATCGTTCTTCATCTAATTGTTTTAGCACTTCCCCGATAATTTGACCGACACTTTGTAAGGCTTTAATATCTTCTTCGGTCTTGTCATATTGTTTTTCCAAATCACGAAGGCCCAAACGAACTAGATAGAATTAAGAGCAATTTCCCCATAGATTGATCAGATCAACCAAAAAAAGCGCTGCCAGCGTGTAATTCCAAGTGTGATTGATTTGGCTTAAAAAATTTCCTCGATAACAGATAGATAGAATGTTTCGCGGATATCGAGGTACTTTTCGAATTAAAAAATTGAATTGATATGTGATATGAAGGCATGATTCATGAAAACTCGCGGCGAGCGTCATTTTTCTTTTTGTCTCTAGGCCAATAAATGCGCGTATCTTTATATAAAACCGATCCATAACAACAGCTATTCCCACTAGATATATCTATGAACGATATAATTTGACCGAAAAGACTTACACTCTTTCACCTTTTGTTCTATTTCTCTATGCTCTTGTAACTTTTTACGGTAGTCACTGAGCGCCTTTTGGCGGCGTTCAGGTTCAGAGCTAGAAGTCGACGGCGTAGCCATTAAGTATGTTTACTCAAATAAAGAATCAAAAATTTTTTGAAAACTGTAAAGCCAGCGCTATGTAATAAGTAACCGAGGATAGTTGTGTTACTTTTTGATTTTGTGCTGACGCAATTCTCTGTTTCGTTGACCTTAATCAAGCTAGCGCATGTTGTGTGACTTGAGATTTGTGGCAATCAGTAGAGTGAATGTAAACAATTTTCTCGTATTCGAAAATCCTACTTGCTTGCTTCTCTACCACCGTCTCGTTTCCCGACTTTTAATTTTCTTTTTTGAATAGCATTATATATTACTCTCTAATTCTCGGGGGCTTTTGAAGAACACAATAACAGGCACCAAATTTACACATTCACTTTCTACAATGGGTAACGTTAGCAGTAACCCGGATGAGCACCCGACAATGTACATAAAGAATCCAGACCGATGTAAGCAACAGGAACCATAAATCTTTAAACTATTGACAAAAAACTCTCGAAGAACTTCAAAATTTGAAGGCTTTTAGTCTTTTATAATAAAATCTAAACTGTATTTCCTCGTTTCTTAATCTGTCTTTACATTTCAATGGTTGTTTTGGTCCGTATCGGCCGCTAGTTCAAATCACAGAGATAGTGGTGTCGAATTCCGCTCACGAGCCTTATATAACTTTCCCTACATCATCGAATCGGATAGCAGCCATACCAAATACAGTAGATCTTTTAGAGTTTACGCAAGACCCAGAGTTACAATCAAAAGCACCGAATAAATTCTTGTTAAAGTTGTCGAAAGATAAACGCTTCGAGTTGAAATTCAAATTTCGTGTTGGTGAAAATTCCACAAATACCGAAGAGTTGAAAGGTTTAACTTTTATTAATGCAACAAACGAAAAAGAATTGGCGAGAATACTGACTGTCGAGTTCAATGTCGATCCTAATGTAATTAAAACGTTCCATATTATCAATTCTAAAGTTCTAATAAATAGGATGGATGTGCGTGAAACATTTCATATAAAGAAATGTTAATCTGGTGAATCTTTTGATCGAAAGAATGATGCAACTCTTGGTCGATACTTTATTTGTTTGTTTGTTTAATAACACATTCTCTATTTTGGATAGTTGCACAGACATGCGAATGTAGCACTTTTGGGCGACTTCACCCCAAAGCAAGAAGAAATTGAGTGGACATGGAAATGGGTCCCTCCGCATACAATGGATGAATCTCATCATGGTTGGCGTAATCATTGTTGTGTAAGACCAAATTTCTTAACTATTTCACAATGAAATTGGAGGGTTTTGCTAGGGTCTTAACATCAGATTTTCTATAGTTTGCCGAATATAATAAAAAAGAGCATACTTTCCAAATACTTGGGTATTTTACATTTTGGGTAGCTGGTCGGTTGTAATAATATTTGTTTCCTGAATCTTTTTTTAATTTTCCTCTCGATTTAAGTATGAAACATCGAATCTCTTTAATTTGCAGAAAATACAATTCGATTTTCGCATCATCGACATTCAAAGAGCTTAAGCTCTATCGATGGGAGCACCGCTAACTTTCAGCATCATGATTTGAATCCACAACAACAACAAGCCTCACCATCATCTCCATTTTCCAAAAGTCTTCGTCCGTCAAGCCCCGACCAGCCACCACCAACCATCAACGTCTCGTATACTACATCGACCGCACCATCAATGTCTAGTGGAGGAGGAGGAAGACGAATGTCTGACGACGCACATCAACACGAACCTGAAGATGGACCTCTTTTTCGGGCAACACTTTCTGCCTATGAAAAGAAAACAGGTTCTCTCAGGCATCATGTAAAAAGAGTTTTAAAGACAGCCGCCGGCTCTCATGAAGCCATCTTAGATAGTCTTAAAGCCGATGAGGATTTTTTGGATGCGCTTCGAACAGCTTCCGCTGCACATCCTCAGGCATTTCAGCAACTTCTCGATAACTATTTTGAAGAAGCATCAAAGAAAATATCCATTTTCAAAGAAAACATGGCACATCAAATGCAATCTCTTCTTCTGGAACCTATTCGAAAGCTATACGAAAACGACATAAAAGTCGCTGAGACCAAAAAAAAGGAATTCGAGGAAGAATCTCGAGACTATTACCAATTTTTATCGAAATATTTGTCGCTGAAAGTGGACTCGGCGAAAGAAAAGAAAAAACTCGAATCCGATTCAAAGTACCAGAATAAACGCAAAACGTTTGAACTGAAACGATTCGATTATTATGCTTATATGCAAGATTTGCATGGTGGAAGAAAAGACCAAGAGATATTGTATCATTTGACCAATTTTGCGGAGAAGCAGTATACTTGTTATCAGCAAACAGCGACAAGTATACAATATCTTAAGCCAGGACTTGAAAAATTGACTGTTTCTGTTTCAGAAGCTCAAAAAGAAATAAATCTGATGCGAAAAGAAAGAGAAGAAAGAAGAAGGACACTTGAAACACGAGCAATAGCTGTCAATCCGTTTCCGACAGAACCATATCATGAAGGGGACAGTACAAATCAAAGTATAGGAAGCACATCGACAGGTGACACTGCAAGTGATGAATATTCGGCAAGTCCAGTCGGATCACCAGTAATAGTCCAAAATCGATTTAAAGGTATACGTGATATGGAACATCACGATGCTGAAAATGCATTATTGGCTGGCAGAAAGAAAGAAGGGTTCTTATTTGCTACTTCTCGTGTTACACAACACGGTGCAGTCGACCCATTAACTCTGACAAATTGGCATAAGTAAGTTTGTTGTTTATAACGACCATTAGGATCTCTTATTAATATACAAAATTTTTCTTTAAGGTATTGGTGTGTATTGGCGGGAGGACAACTTTGTGAATACAGTAATTGGAAAAAACAACTTGAGACACATAACGAGCCGATTAATCTACGATTTGCCACAGTTCGAGAAGCTCGTGGCATAGATCGTCGGTTTTGCTTTGAAGTAATCACTCCACAATATCGACGAATTTACCAAGCAACTTCAGCCGAAGATATGAACTCTTGGGTGATGGTAATCTCAAATGCTATCGAAAGTCTCTTGAACGGGACAAGTAGTTGTCGCAATTTAGATCACCTGTTAGTGCAAGATGATCATAACCCGGGAGCCCGGGAACCCTTGAAAAGACAAAACTCACTTAAACGACGAGGAACATTATCGAGTTTAACGGACAAAAGAAGGTTTGAAACGAGAAAAGTGTACTCAGTTCCCTCAAAACCCAATAGCACTCATATATCAAATCACAGGGTTCCTCAAGACGCTGGTGGCAGTGCCGATCCCGTGACTATTACGGGAAAAATTATTGATATTATCAAAAATGCTGATAGTTCAAATTCAATTTGCGCCGATTGTGGTGCTCGCAAGACTGAATGGTGTTCCATTAATTTAGGAGTTATATTATGTATTGGTAAGTGTTTTTCCTCGAATTTCCTTATCGTGCATTCGATACGAAAGATCTTAATCATTTTTTATCTTGATTCGATTATAGAATGTTCTGGTATTCATCGTAGTCTCGGAACACACATATCTAAAGTAAGATCATTGACACTGGATACGATATCTTATACACCTGATTTAATAGAACAGATAAAGATGCTTGGCAATGCTCGATCAAATGCTATTTGGGAAGCTAAAATGGTGTCTGAAGTAAAACTGAGCTCCGCAGAAACTAAACAAATTTCACCGGATAACAAACTGAGTCCACCACAGGTGAATATCACCACGCCACCAGCCCAACAAAATGGAACATCACCTTCGCCATCTCCATCTACAAAACCCGATGATAAATCTCTATTAGGTACATCACCAGATGCAGATTGGGTAGACATTATAAACATGCTTAGCCCATCCTCATCGAATACCACTACAAAGAAACTTCCACTCATTCCTAAACCTTCCAACAGTGACTCACGTGCAATCAAACAAAAATTTATCACTGCCAAATATGTAGAACGTGCTTATGTTGATTTTTCATTGGTCGATGATGATAGAACTGCAACAGATTTATTATTCGAAGCGGTAAAGAAGAATGATGTACCAGGAGCGATGCAAGCAATCGCATTGCGGGCAGATGTGAATGCTGCTCGACGATTTGAGGTAGAAAATGATCATGGCTTAAAAACGCCGTTATTATTAGCATTACTGCATATCAAGAATTCGACATACTCAGAAAAAGGCATAAAGCAATTATTCCCTATGGCGGAATTATTGTTACAGAATGGAGCATTAGTAGAAAGAACATTGATTGATGAACTTGAAGATATTCTCAATAATTCTAAAACAACAACAACTACTACTTTAAGACGTTCCGTTTCCGCAAAAAGTGCAGGTGCATGGGCTGCGGAGGTATTCGATCTTAAGCAAAAAGGGAAAACCATACTGGAGATTGTACACGATAGTGGCAACGAGGCTGCCATTAAATATCTTTTGCCCAAAGCTGTCGCACGGGGTTCTTCTTCACCTACTCCGGGTCTCGGTGAAAATGGGCTGGTGGCGTCAACACAGACCACAAGCACAGGTGGAGTATTTGGTGGAACAGCTTTAGAGAAAAAGTCAACACAGAATTTGGGACGATCTTTGTCAATGTCGGTTCGAAATGTTATGACTGGTTAAGTCAACAGACGATCTTTGTCAATGTCGGTTCGAAATGTTATGACTGGTTCATAAAGACATTATATTTTTTAATTTTTTCTAGTTGTTGTATATATAATATAACCACCATAGCATACATATAATGATCTATTTGGTATAGTTATTTTTTTGGGTTTATTATTTAGAGTAGAAAATATTATTTATTATATATTATATATAATGTACATTTATAATTATTTATACGTTCATTTTTTTATGACAACTTGTGTAAGTTTACGTTAAGCATACATCAAATAATTAATAATTTGAAAAAATTCCGTCTCATAATTTGACCAGCAAACAATTACTGTTTAATTATATAAATTACTAGACAAATTATTTTAAAGGCACATTCTCTACCTGATCGAGAGAATATTATAATATTGATCCACATATAAACACAATGTAATGATGATTATTATCGTTAAAACTTGAGTAGTTCAAAAAAAAAATGTAAACATTGGCAAGGATTTATACAAGAAATCTCTAGCCAGAATTACCAAACAAAACCGATCGATATTATTAAGAAATTAAAACAAGTAGAGAATCGCTTATTCATTCATTTTTCATCTCACTCCTCAAGCATCATTTTATTATTAGCCTGTTCTGGGTAAAGATACGAAAAATAAAACGTTAGTAAGCAAAGATAACAATCAAGAAAATTACCCATTTTTGTCTAGTCTATATGGAATTGTTCGTTTTCTCGCTCTCGTATTATCATCCATCAGGTTTTGATTTTCTTATTTTGTGGCTCATCCGTCGGCTATATATACAAGAAACACGGAGTAAGTTGACAGCACAAAAAATAACTTGTACACGATAAAAACATAAAAGTGCATACAGATTTGTTAAAACGTTCGGCTCTTTTTCTTTTCTTATCTTCTTCGCTTAAAGAGCTCGCTGAATTACTACCACCAGGGGCAGATATTGCCGATGAAGTGGTAACATTTGGTGATGATGATGTATTATTAGCACTCTAAATCAAAAGTTTATTAATGCGTGAATGAATTGAATTCACTCAAAGAAATATCAGCGAATATTTATTTACTTCTGTCGCAAATTTTTCTGCTCTCTTTTTTCTCTTTTCCTCCTCCGTGTCAATAACAGGTAGACCAAACTTTTCGGCTCTTTTCCGTTTCTTTTCTTCCTCATCAGTAATGATGGAAGCAGTAGTTGTAGTGGTAGAAGAAGAGGAAAATCTTTGTGCTCTGATTCTTTTCCTTTCCTCTTCATTCAATGAGTTTACTGAATTTCTTCTTTCAGGTGTCGTCCATGCATCATTAGATGAACTGGAATCGGCAGCAACATTTGTAAGATTGAATTTCTCCGTACGTTGTCTCAATTTTTCATCATCATCAGCTGATGTAGACTATATAAAATAAAATTAGTATCATCTTATCGATATTCACACACAAAATAAATTATGAGTCAAATACTTGCAGTCTTTTTTTGAGGAATAGGTCTTTCGGCTATCGACATAAACACAGAATCAATTAGTATATTATTCATCATTGATAATTTTTCTTCCTATTCAACAATTAATACATCAAATAAAAGCGCACACCTTTTAAAGGAGAATCGACAGGACTCGACATTTGAAGACCAAATTTCACCGCTCTTTCTAATTTTTTATCAGTCTCATTGAGAGTAACTCCAAATCGCTCGGCACGTTTCTTTCGTTTTTCCAATTCAGAACTTATATTACTATCATTAGATTGGTTAAGGGCTGGGATGGATTGCTGCGGTTGCGACGGAGCATTAAAGGTAATTTTCTTGCATTTAAATCCCGTGGGTTTTACAACTATTTCTGGTTCTGTTGTGGAGGTGAAAGCCCGTTGCGAATCTGCGATCGATGTGGATGTATTGGTGATGGTAGAGGTGGTGCCTGGCTTCTTATCTAACGTGTTGTCCATTTTTGATTTGTCTGTTGTTCTTTCTATGGGTGAGCTGAGAGAGTGTAACGAGTCTAGTTCGGCATCTTTGACAACATCATTAAACTCACTATCAATGAAAAAAAGAAAGTTACAAAATATATGTTTAATATTTAAATATCATTAGATAAATAATTAAAATACTAACTCAGTGGTCAACTTTATGTCGTCCCAATCAAAATCCGTGTCAAGTGCAGAATTAGGGTCACCCGGTGAATTCACAATATCTTTCTCAAACAAATCTGTATCACCCGTTTTCGTATCATTATCACCAGCAACACCACTTGCATTATTATCACCATTACTAATGATGCCGCTATTATTCTGGGTCTTAGTATTAATATTAATACTATTATTACCGGTATTTCTACCAGTACTGTTGTTATTATGACTGCTAATATTGCTACTGTCAGTAGTAGTGGTGGTAGTTGTCACTTTCTCGCCAACTTCAAAAGTCAACAATCGATTTATCAGATCTTCTTTTTTTCCAGAAACAGGAAGACCTTTTTTGTTTAGTAGTTCTTTAAGTTCTGGAACTTTTAGGGAACGAAGTTTCGCTTCTGCGCTAGACATTTCGTCGAATGAAGGAAAATAGTGTATAACAAAAAAAGGAAGACTATTATTACGATTACAAAACGCGGAGGATCAACCGGATATCATAACCAGACATGTCATTGGTTGAGGTGTCTAACACCTAACGTATATGGCATATGACACTGCAATTTATGCCTTTAGTGTTTTTGAAAAATCGCTCAGAAAAAACACTTTGATATTCTAGCAAAAATTCTCATGAAAGACAAATGAAATACATTTTGAAATTGCAACATAAAGTTTAGATTTATTGAAAAGTTTCAGTTTCATTTATTCAATAAAGATTATATACAAGATTATTCCAGCTAAAATTACAATACACATTCCTACAATAAATTATTTTTTTGTTTTTATATTAAAATAAAATTGAATTTCAAAGATATTCTAATTATAAAGCTTGTATAGTCAACTTTACAATCAGAATATTCTTGAAATTAAATTTGTTAAAATACAGATTCTTAGTTTTAATTTGATATAAAAACAAAAAATATTTACTAATATAATCAAACTTTTTTATAATCATATTTATTTATTAATGATTTATATAGTAAAAGATTTTTTAAAAGATTTAATTTATAATAAATACAATTAAAAGATTTATACATTATAAAATTTAAAATAGTTTATTTACAAGATTTTTTTTATTATTATACTTTTCACTATTATTATTTTATATTAGTGCTCTATAATAAATTATACAAGTATATAATACAAAAATAACAATTACTAGATTATTTCAAATATAAAACTGAAAAATCTTAACAAATTTATTTTTTACTTACAAAATAAAGTATTACTTTTATACAAATTTAGTTATTACAAAAATATTTTTTTATTTGTACTACTAATTTAATAAAAGTTTTTTTATTATTTTAAATTTTTGTTTTTTCTTTTATTATTATATTATTTTAATGTTGTACTAATTAATAATAATAATTAAATTAAATAATAAATAACAAAGTAAAAATAATATTTATAATATTTGATAAAAATACAAATAAATCAATAAAATATAATATATAAAATATAGTTCTTTCCAAAAAAGTAATGGTCAATGATTTTTTTATTATAATTTTTTTTATATAATAATATAATTTAAAATTTTATTTTTATAATGTCAAATATGATGAATTGAAATTTTTAATATTTAAATTAGAATAAAAGATTATTAAAAAATATCTTTAATAAGAAAATATATTTATAATTTAAAAAAAAATTTTGAGTCTATTTTATTTAGATAAATTTTCAATAAAATACAATAAAAATAATATTTTATTATAAAAACTCATCGAAATAAAATCTTTTTTTGAATAATATTATTAAATAAAATGAATTCAAATTTTTTTTAAATTACAAATATATTTTTATATTATAAAATTATTTTCAAAATTGCTTATTAAAAATATTTTTTATTTTAATTTTAATATTAAAATTTTAATTTATCATTTTTAACATGAAATTTGCAAAATTTTATTATATTAATATGTTTTATAATATTAATAATATTAAAAAAATTGTTTTTAATATTCTAAAGAATATATTTATAAATTTTCATGATTTTTAAATAATTTTTTATTAAAATATAAAGCAAAAAATATATCTGTTATTACTTTTATCAGGAATTATATTTAATAAATAAATTAAATATTTTTTTAAATTATTATTTGTTTTTTGATTTATTTTTTTAATATTAAATAGTTTTAGAATTTTATTAATTTTATTATATAAAACAATTATTTATTGTTTTTAATTATTATAAATTCTTTTTGCTAATAATTAATAATAAAAATATTTTGCCAAAAGAATTTTTGTATTTTAAAATTTTTAGTTTTCTGATTTTGCTTATTTATTATTATATTTAATAATATATTTATTATTATTCGAGTTATTAAAATAGAAAGCTAATAATATTTTTTTTGTTAAATAAATTAGTAATATATCAAGTTATTAATTATTATTAATTATATTTTGAATTTTATTATTATTACTATTATTATTTAATAATATTATATAATTAGAATATTTTATAATATAATTATAAATAATTAATCTTTTTAATTATTTATATTTTTATTGAATAAATTTAAAATTATATAACTTTTATATATAATTCAATCATATATTTTATATATAATTTATATTATTACTATTAGATATTTTGAATTATATATAAAATATCATGTGATATAATTTTGATAATTATTTATATTTTTATTTATATTTTTCTATTTATAATTTTATTTTTAATTTATTTAATTTATATATAATTTATTCAAAATACCAATTAATCCTTTTTAATATCACATTATTTATTTTATTATAATATTATTAGATTTAAATTCATTCTATTTTAAATTAATTTTATTTAATATTAATTAATATAGTGTTAATATTATTCTAATTTAAATTATATTGCTTATATTAAATTAGTATTATACTTATTATTTCTTGATATTACACTTTCAAAATTAATCTTATAATTGTTTTTAAGTAAAATTACTTATCATGTAGATTTGTATTATATTTACAAGTATTTAAACAGATATAATTTAATATAAAATAACAAGAATTATAGTAGTAATTTTGAAAGTATAGAAGTTAATTAATACTTCTAAATAATCTTTTGCTTATTATTATCTTTGATTTATTATTTATTTAACTTTAACTTGTCCAATTAGTAAAAGTCATCTTTTGTATTTTAATAAATCATTCGTATTTTTGAATTATAAAATACTTATTCAACTAGTGAAAGTATCAAAATCTATTTCTTTTTATACTCTTTCCCAATCATCTAGTATTCAACTCTTTCAAGTACACACAGTCACTATTATCACTCTTATATAATTCTTAATTAATTACTATAATTAGTTAATATTTTATCTATCAATATAAGAATAGTAACAGCTTTTTGATGGAGAATAAAATTGGAGCTAGATACTATTAAATCACTTTTCAAAACTGAATTTATTTAAACCAATTAAAGTTAAGATTCACTATTAATTTGTTGATATTGTAAGAGAAATAATCAATACTAAACTCACAAAAAAACAAGACAGAAAATTATTTAAACTTTTTTATAATCTATTTAAAGCTGATATTACCAAATAAAAATCTCAAATTAATACTATCAAATATCAATTACAACAGTAATCATCACCACATACTCTTCTAAAACCATTTGAATTATTTAATTATCTTAATAATTTAATTAAAGAAGTTCAAACTTTCAATCAACAAAGATAATCTTGATTATTCAAATATAAAATAGAACAAAAATTTTACTCATGAACACTAATATTAATAATTACAAGTCAAGAATCACATTCATAAACAGTAGCAACAACATTAACAATTATTCAAAATATTAAATAAAGTTTTCAAAATTATCTAAAAACATTATCAATAACTCAACAAAATCAAAACTTTAAAATAAAAGAAGAACAAGATGCTGTTATCATAGTAACATAAATTTCTCTAATTCGATAATCTTTCTTTGATTATACAAAATTCTCTTTTTCTTAATTTTTATCATTTATTACCTGATTATTATTATTTTTATCCAATCATATAATTATCTTACTTTTATTTTATTATCCTAAATCTTATATTTATATCTTAAATATTATATTTATTTCCTTTTTCTTATTTCTATATACTTTTATCACCCTAAATCTAAGATTTACAATTTTGATCACAAATATCCTATATTAATATTAATGTTTCACATATATAACTATATTTAGTAATATTACATAGATTAATTAGTTAATATATTTGTAAATCTCTTCTTTTATATTTCATTTCTTCTTTTATATTTATATTACACAAAAATCTTGATTTTAAAATCTTGATTTCAAAATCTTGATTTCAAAATCTTAATCTGAAAATCTTAATTTGAGATTACAAAATAT